GTGATAGCAACCGAGGTCAAGCTGAGTAAGTCAGCAGGGCATATGATTATGTCAACAGGGTATATGATTATATCAGCAGGGTATATGATTATATCAGCAGGGTATATGATTATATCATCAGGGTATATGATTATATCAGCAGGGTATATGATTATATCAGCAGGGTATATGATTATATCAGCAGGGTATATGATTGTATCAGCAGGGTATATGATTATATCAGCAGGGTATATGATTATATCAGCAGGGTATACGATTATATCAGCAGGGTATATGATTATGTCAGCAGGGTATATGATTGTGTCAGCAGGATATATGATTCTGTCAGCAGGGTATATGATAATGTCAGCAAGACATATGATTATATCAGCAGGGTATATGATTACGTCAGCAGGGTATATGATTGTGTCAGCAGGATATATGATTATGTCAGCAGGGTGTATGATAATGTCAGCAAGACATATGATTATATCAGCAGGGTATATGATTATGTCAGCAGGGTATATGATAATGTCAGCAGGATATATGATTATATCAGCAGGGTATATGATTATGTCAGCAGGGTATGTGATAATGTCATCAAGGTATATCATTATGAAACTCTACATTCTTTTTCATAAGCATTTTGTGATCTTGATGTTCATTGCTCCACATACGGCCTTTCTCCATTCATCTCCGTATCTGGCCTTCTTGTTCCAGTTGGTGACTCCAAGTGTCTGTAGGTCTGCCTGTATATTATCTCTCCACTGTCTTCTTGGCATACTCTCATTCAACTCTTTTGTGTATGCAATTGTTGTCTCTCTGTCATCTTGCCTGCTCTGTATAAACCCCGACTACTGTAGTCTGTTGGCCTTCTTGATGCCAGGTATTAGTGGAGGTTTACACAGAGCATCAATTTCATTATCGCTACCAGCTCTCCATTCTCCATTGCTTGCATCGTTGATGGGTGAAAATTTCCTTGTCAACTTACTGCAAATAAACAAAAACTAATGATTGGAAATAATGATAAATACTGCTGATTTCCCAAACGAACCCTTCAAGATAAAGGCATAAATATTAAACAGGTTAATCATTATGAGATGTACACAAGTGGGAGGACAACATTCAAAGATGGAGGAACAGAAGTCTTAGAGCGAGTAAAACTAGGACATATAACAAAACATAACAACATAATCCTTGACCAATTAGGATCGTGGAGGTGTACTAATGGAAGCACTAGCACATAAAACCCGCCATCTTTCTCTGTCTTCTGCTTGATGAATAAGTGCATGATAGCTAGGACAAGAAATAAGAATGTTGGAGACCCATTACAATATCAGATAGAGTACTATTAGTAAAACTTCGTGGCAGACCGTTTGACATCAACTTAGTTCAGATTTATGCCCCAACAGCAGATAGTTCAGAGGAAGATATTGACGCATTTTATGATGAGTTAGACATGGCTGTTGATCAATGCAAAAATTGTGAAGTAACAATGGTATTTGGAGATTTCTACGCGAAAGTAGGAAGTGAAAAAGTGTACGGAATAACTGGTGGCTATGGCCTTGGGTCACTGGTTACCAACAATGGTGACACAATGAAAGAAATTAAACGGCGACTATCAATTGCTCTTCAAAGACTAAAACAACTGAATAAATTATGGAATTGTACAGATAGAATTACAAAGGTCAGATTTTTAAGAGCATGCATCTTTCCCATTGCAACATTCGCCTGTGAGACCTGGACACTTACTAAACAAGCGGAACAGCGCATAAATGCATTTGAATATAAATGTTACAGACAGGTTCTAAGAATATCTTGGGTAAAGAAAACAACAAATGCATCCATACTTCAAGAGCTGAATATTGAAGAGGGCTGGCTAGTAAAGACAATAAAACAAAGAAAATTGAAATATTTTGGTCACTTGAAACGTCATGGAAGTCTAGAGAGAACAATAATGGAGGGGTATATGCCTGGGAAGAGAGGAAGAGGAAGGCCAAGGAGAAGATGGGTGCAGGATGTGGCAGATGATCTCCAGATGGGTGTATCGGACGCAGGACATCTTGCTCAGGATAGGAAGGTTTTCCGGAGGGTTGTTATGGCTGCGAGGTTCCGCGAGGGACATGCTACTGAATGAATGAATGAATGAATGGCCTAGGAGAAAAGAATGTGAGAGGTGACAGATTAATAGCATGGGCTGAGTCACGCAGCATGATAATAGGTAACACCTGGTTTAAACACCATCCTTGAAGATTGTGGACTTGAAAAAGTCCTGGTGATAATGTCCGCAATCAGATTGATTATATTTTGATTTCAAGAAGATTCAGGAGCAGCTTAGTTGGAGCAAAAACTAGACCTGGAGCAGACTGCATTAGTGACCATGTTCCAGTTGTATAAAAAATTAGAATAAAACTAAAGAACATTAGAAAAACACCACAGAACATCAAGTTAAATTTGGGAATTCTTAGAACGGATAACGAAATTAAAGACCAATACAATGTCACTGTTCAAAACCGGTAAAATGCAATGGAAATTATACAGACTATCGATGAACAGTGGGATATGTTGCGTGAGTCAATTCAGCAGACATCTAAAGAGACAATCCCACCAACCCATAGAGTTGCAAAAAAGAAATGGATGTCAACCGAAATTCTGCAGTTGATGGATGAGAGAAGGAAGAAAAAGAATGATAAAGAATACTCTAGAATACAAAAAGAAATGGTGAACAAATGCATGGTGGCTAAAGAAGCCTGGCTGAATCAAATGTGTACAGAGATTGGGGAAAACAACAGGAAAGACTCACATTCCATGTACCAAAAGATAAATATGTTAACAGGAAAGATGACACGTAACAGCACTGGATGTTTAAAATCAAAAGATGGTGACTTATTAATGGGACATAGTAATATAATTAACAGATGGACGGAGTATATAGGGGAATTGTATGATGATAATAGACCAGATGTAGAACTGCAGACCAACAATGATGGTCCACCAATAATGACTTCAGAAGTTGAGGATGCAATACATCATATGAAAAAAGGAAAAGCACCCGGGCCAGACAACATCTCACTGGAAGAAATTAAGCACTGGGAGATTTTGGAATTGAAATAATAACAAACCTTTAAATGAACAATGTGGATTTGTAGAAGGAAAAGGTACAAACAATGCCATATACATCCTAAGGACATTGTCAGAAAGAGCTATAGAAGTAAAGACTGATTTGTACATATCCTTCATAGACTATACAAAAGCATTTGACTGTGCGAAGCATGAAGAAGTAATCAAACTGTTAGAAAAATTAAACATTGATGGGAAAGATCTACGAATAATAAAGAACATGTATTGGCAGCAAACAACAGCTATAAGAATTAACAACTGTTTAGTTACATTTCAAAGCATAAAGAGGGGCGTACGACAAGGATGTGTACTGTCACCTGATTTGTTTTCAATATACAGTGAATATATAATGAGAGCTTTAATTGGTATGCCCGGAATTGTGGTTGGTGGGCAAAATTTAAACAATTTACGTTATGCTGATGACACAGTCTTGGTAGCAACAAGTCAAAAAGAACTACAGGAAATTATAGACATTGTGGTGTTAGAAAATGGAAGAATGGGCCTCAGTTTGAATAATGGGAAGACAGAAGTAATGGTGGTATCAAAGAAACGAATTATTCCTAAGTGTGTAATAAAAGTTGATGGTGTTATTTTAGGACGAGTACAGAAATTTAAGTATCTGGGCACATGGATAACATCAGATGGAAGATTCATAACTGAGATAAGAAATAGAATAGGACAGGTGTCACAACCCTAAGAGTACAGTCAGTGGCGGAATAGACTACACCGTAAGGTGTGTGTGTTGAGGTGACACCCCAGGGTTGACACAAAGGTCAGGGCCGTGACTGGTCAAGTCTGTTCTGTTATTGCACTGTGAAACCACCTCTCAGGATAAAGCGTTTGGCCACGGCAAGAAAGAGTGAACTTTGTTGTGGACAAGTCCGCAACACGATTACCGCTTTTGGGACTGAGCTGGTGAACGGGGTCAAGAGACATGAGGTGGAGAGAACACAGGACATTCGGTGTGCGACGGTCAGAGAGAGAAGACGTGCAGCGAGACAGTGATAGTGTATTAGAGTTAGGATTTTTCTGTTAGTGACTGCATAGTTTATGTACAGTGTTCTGTTGGAATAGGATAGTTTTTGTGTAGTGTATTTAACTGGTACAAGGTATTGTGTTGTTCCATAAGAAGTAAATAGGTTCCAGTTACTTCTGACCCGTTAAATCAGTTATGTACATGTTCTGTGAGAGAATATATAACCTTGGCACTCTGACCCTGTGCTAGACAGAGGCTGTGACAGTTTGGTTGGTCAGTCTGTCGATAGTTAAGAGCGTATCTCGTGACCGTGTGAATACCTTGGACAGCCAAAAAGAGCAATCAAGAGGTTTTGAAAGAGGCGGGAGCCCGAAGACAACTTATCACAGACATCAGAAGGAGACAGTCATTATTTTTCGGCCATGTTATGAGAAGAGGGAAAAAAAACACGTTGTGACCACTGGAAAGATATGTGGAAGGAGAGATAGAGGAGGACAACGAGAGAAGATGCTTGACAGTCTTGTTGCATGGCATGGAGGTGTGTCGGCACACGAACTGATACATGCTGCATTAGATCGCAGATTACGGAGAGGCATGATCGCCCACGCCAGTCGGCAAGGCACCTGATGATGATGAGGAGACCCATTGCAGCCAACCTTCATTGTGGAGATGATACCTTGATAATTGACATAACCTGCTTTTTTTTTTTAAACCACCAGGCTACATTTGTTTTTAAAAAATCAGTAACCAAAAAACTCTCAAATGCCAGGTTAGCATTGGTAATATAAAATTATTATAATCTTTAAACTATTTTATGTAAAAAATATTTTACTGCTTTGGCTTTCATATTGTGTGTCCAAGTTTGAGTGGCAGTTTATTGTTTCACTTGGTGCTTCACAAATTACATTTTTGTTGTGTTCTACAGTGATGGAAGCTGTGCAGACTTCTGCATTCAGTGACGCTGCTCCTTACCAAACATACTCATCTCTGAACAGGCAACTATTTCTCAATCGACGAGATCTGAGAATTGGAGTAAGTAGAATATTGAAGATGATAGAGGCCTGTAGTTGCGATTTGCAAGTTTAAACAGAAATAAAGCAGTGTGTTTCTCTAAGCTGGCCATTGCTTGTGTTGTGCTAGGCAAAAGATGCACCTTTGTTAGGACAACTGACCATGTAAGTGAACTACTGCTGTCACAGAAAGTCCTTGAGTAAAAGTCTACATTCTGCAAAGGTTTATTTTTACAGTTTCTGTTTTTGGTTTGTATTATCATAATTAAAATAACTTAACAGCTGAAAAAGAATACATTCAGATGTACAATCAGATACTAGCAGCAAAACTTGTTTAGATGAATTTAAATTGCAATTGGGTCTGTTTGTTTTCATGACATATCTGTAGTCTGACCAATTTTGAACTTTCTTGCAGATATGCTTTCTTTCAGATATGCTTTCTTTGTGTTGATGTATGTCTGTGTGCGTAAATATATTTTGGTTTTGAGGCTTTTGCTGGGATTGTTTGGACCAGTGATTTGCCTCGTCGAGGAGCTCAATTGCTTTTTTAAATTTCATTTTAAGGTGGTGTCTTTTATTTCCACTTCTGCGAGTTTGGTAGCTGGAGGGTCTTCTCTGCCTGTCCTAAAGTTCTTTAAAGTATTTTTGCTTTTCTGTTCATTTTATCTTTAATGCTGATGATAATATTTCCATAATTAGTTTCTTTAAGTATTAATTCACTTGGTTAAATTTTTTAAATTTATATTTCCAGTATAGCTTTAAAGTCTTTGAGGTTTCTTTTTGCTGCTGCTTCAGTCTCTTCTTCTAGGCAGTCAAAAAATGATCTTTTATCTTATGTTGCTTGTTTCTCAACTTTTTTAAAAACATTTTATTTACTGTGTGAGCTTTAAATTTTTAGTTTTTGCTAATGTTCAAATCTACTGTTTATTTAATTATTTATTTTTGTTCAAATTATGAATTTCAGATAGTATCCATGCTTTGTCTTTCTTTTTACCTAAGAACTTTTATACACAATTTATTTAAAATGTTGACACTCCTCATTGCTCACCTTGTCAACTAAGGATGACATGACTGAGTGCTTATTAGAATTTGCTACTTTAAATTGTTCTTTAGGGAGCCTGCATTTTCTCAAGCCATGGTGTCTGCCTTGAGTCCTAGAGGTCCCGGGTTCAAGGCATGGTGAAGGCTGGGACTTCCTGTAATTTCCCCTGGTCTCTGGGACACCTCGTGTATATTGTTGTAAAAAAATCCCATGGCAGTTGGAAATCAAAAAGAGTAGCCTAACAATGCTGTCCGGAAAAAATTTAGATTTTAAAATCTACCCAAATTATTTCAGGATCCTCGCCAGTGCAACAGAGTTCGTGCACTGTGCTGAGATTTGTCAGACTCAGGCTTGAGTTAGAAGAAGAATGGAGTACTTATAGGTTACAACTGAATTTCATGATGTTGATCTGTTGAATAAAATATAAAAATAAACATAAATTGTTTTTTAATGTATGTATTTTTTGGCAGTGTGTGTCCCCATGTGCCTCTTTGTCTGTCTCTTTAAATTAACTGTTATTGTTAACCACGATTGTATTGCATCAATAGATCATAACTCTCCATATAGTACCTAGTCAAGTCTTGTATACATCGCTAATGAACCATAATGAACGATTCAACACACAGCAATTCTGGTGCTGTTGTGTTCAGAAAGAATTACAATAGAGAAGCTGGTAACTGATTTTGTATTCATTCAATTAGCTTGGCATGTTGCTTTCAGTTTAAAATGTTCACCATTATTACCATCATTGTAATCATTCTATATTCTCCACTGATGTTACAAGTTTACCTAACTGATTCTCATATGTTTCTCAATAATTAATGAAAAGGAGATTTGGCACAAAATGTGACTGATAACATGGGGTAAAAACAATGGTCCTGAAACCCCATGCATTTATTGTGGAAAACTGTTCTTGATGCACACTATCCTTGCAAACCCCACTCGCCCTGGCCATGGGCTGTGGTTTCCATACAGCCCAATATAATACAGTTGTCTGAAAAGATAAAATGGTGACAGCATAACAAAGTGAACATGTCTGATACTGCTGTTAAAAAGCTAACACAAACATATAAAATAATTTATTTTAAATAAACAGATAGTTTTTACATGAGTACAATCATTTTTTTTTATAAACTAGACATGTCAGACTACACAGGGGAAAATAGCAAATATAAATGTGAATACATGGCATTTGAGGGAAAACTAGCTTGTGTTAAAGCTGAATTAGTTTCTGTTTAGAAGAGTAAAGTGATACAATGGGTCAAACCAGCTGCTGATGTAAGATTTGAATTTACTACCAGGAGGAAACAGACAACTGGGAACGTTCCCTTTGTACCCAATGACTGCTAGCACAGATTCAGTAGTCATTAGTCAAGAAAAACATAAAAATTGTCCATAAGCTAAAGTAATTATATGATCTAATTTTAAAAAAGTAATTACAGGGTGTCCCACAAGTTTCCATACACAGGAAAACACCTTTCGATGTGTCCTCCACTGTTAAAGAACATGTACAAGTACTGGTAGAATTATGCTTGCAGTGGTGTTGGTGATCTGTTTACTTTTCTTATGTATGGAAACTTATAGGACACCTTGTATGAAATGTAAATATTCATAAGACAGTTCCACTTCATAATATAAACAGACATATATAGCAATGACTGAACTCTGATCCACATATATGTTGTAAATCATGTTTGCTGATATGGCTATACGAAAGCATTTGCCTGTGTGAAACATGAAATAATAATCGAACTTTTGGAATAGCAAAACACCGATGGAAAAGATTTATGAATTATAAAGAACATTTATTGGCAGCAAACAGCAGCTGTAAGAATTAATAACAATTTAGGAACATTTCAGAGTATAAAGAGCGGAGTAAGACAAGAATGTGTACTATCACCTGATTTATTTTCATTATAAAGTGATTATATAAGGAAATCTTCATGGATATGCCAGGAATTGTGGTTGGTGGTCATAACGTTAACAACCTATGCTATGCTTATGACATCGTCTTGATAGCGACAAGTCAGAAAGATCAACAGGAATTTATAGGTCGGTGGTGGTAGCAAGTAGGAAAAAAATGGGCCTCTGTTTGAATAATGGGAAGACAGAAGTAAAGGTGAAAGTATAGCACCAAAATGTATAATGAGTCAAAGATATTTTTTTTTAGATGAGTACGGAAATTTAAGTATCTAGGCACATGAATAACATCCATTGGAAGATGTATCACAGAGATAAAAATAAAATGGGAGAAGCCAAAACTGCATTTTATCAAATGAAGAACGATGTATGCAAAAAATCAATGCCATTGGAGGTTAGGAAAAGAATTATTGCATGCTACATAGAGCCAGTTTTAACATATAGTTGTGAAGCCTGGACAATTATTGAACCAGCCAAATAATTTCTTGAGGCCTCGGAGATGTGGTTTTACAGAAGAATCCTTACAATTCCTTGGGCAGCTAAGAAGATCAACCCAGATGTTTTGAAAGAGGTGGGTGCTCAGAGAAAACTTATCACAAACATCAGAAAGAGACGGTCATCATTTTTTGGTCATGTTAAGAAAGAAAATGTAACATGTTGTGACCACTGGAAAGATCTGTGGAAAGAGAGACAGAGGAAGACCGTGCAAGAAGATTCTTGACGGCCTTTTGTCATTGCGTGGTGCTGTGTCAACATACGAACTGATACACGCAGCTGTGGATCGAAGATTGTGGAGAGACATGATCGCCCACACAAGTCAGCAAGGCACTTGATGATGCCGATGAGAACTAAGATAATGATTAAATAAATAAAGAAGACATGCGGTATAATGGGTGGATTGCTTCTTTACTTTTTTTTTTTTTTTTTGTTGCTTAAGTACTTATGATGTTGGTCATCATGTCTGTCCACAGCCTTCACTTAGGTTTACTTGCAGCCATTTCTGATATGTATGTGCCATGGTATGTTGTTGACTGCTCTAAAATGGTGGGTTGTCGGTTATGTTCAGAATGACATGTACTTTTACAAGGGCAATGCTAGCTTTTATGATAGGCTATTTACCCCAACAGTGAGTTGCAATTCTGGTGTTGGCACATTTTACTGCTGCATTGGGCCATTTTGCTTTGCATGTGCAAGCATAACAATTTTGCTGGGTTTTTTTTTTTTCTACTTTTTTAAATTGGATTGTAGAGGACATTTTGAATGACATCCAATGGCAAAGGAATGAAACAGTTATGTCTGCAGTGATGCTGAAAACTCAGCCGACTGTAGCCGGGCGGCCACGAGTTTGACTGGATTTTCAAAAAAAGTCTGGCAAACAGAGACAAGAAGTTGATAAAAGGTCGATGCATCCAGGATAATAGTCTATTTGGCTTTCCGGATTCTTACCCCAAAGTTGATCAGTGGCAGGAGATCCCCCTGCAGCATGTTACATGTGCTCAGAAGCATATGTTCGGGCGACTGCAGGTGGATGGACAGTTTGTCTGGCTAACTTCATGGTAGTGGTACATTTCTATAGTTGGCTCTGAATTTTCGTCAGTAGTTAAGCTGTGTGGATAGAGATAGAACTGTGTCAGTCATCACTCAGAGACATTGATTTTTTTTTTGTCAAAGCAAATTTTCTTTTTTGCTAGATGAGATGCTTATCTCATGTGTGCTTGTGGACACAATGTTATTGTTAATGTATTGTTATTAGTGAACTACCTGAGTTTTGTGTTCACTTAAATAAAGAGATGTTCAGTGTGACAATTATAGTTGCAGTTGTTTTGATTAAGACTAGGACTTGTAGTCTGAGTACCTAGCTTTACTGTTACTACTGATTAGACTTCATACAGAACATATCCTGTCTGGGTTAAGACACTATTTGTCTTAGCTCCGGCCTAAAAAAACTTATTTTTTATCTTACTGGGGAAGCTTGAGTGTGGGTTTTGACTCCCATTCGCAACAGCAATTTTTTTTGTAGAATGTCTTATAGGATTTGAGTAGAGATAGGTTCAAGTAGATTTTTGTATTATCCATTTTATCTCCTTCCCTGCCTTTAATACAAGATCTTATTTAGGCTTTGCTTCTAGCATATAACAATTTCTGATATGCATGTTCCTCCATGCCACAATACTAAATTGTCCTAGCATCTTCTATCTTGATCTTTACCTGCTTCTAATCCTTATTCTCTTATTTGCTTGAATTAAATTCTCAAAACAAACCTAAAGAATAAGAACTAGTTCCTTCTGACGTGAGTAACCGGTTCTCGTTGTGAGTTAAATTCTTTCAAGATATCCTAATTATAATTTTTTTTATCTTTCCCCTGTTCTTCTATAACAAATCAGAGGGGTGCACATGCAAGTTAATTCACACGATGAGACAACCATAGGGTATGTCATCTGTTTTTCAGTTTAAATACCTTAAGGTGAGAAAAAATTTATATGTCTTAATCATTTAGAGAAACAGCAAATAACGTATCAGCTTTGCAGCAGTGATGTAATTATACAAATTATGCAACTATTACACACCGCTAACCCCTTGCTCTGTGTTTCTAGTGTATGTTACAGGTGCACTCAGCAGCGGACGAACGGTGACTGCTCGCATCACTCCGGCAAATATAACTGTCATTAATGGAGTTGTACATCAGATTTATCAGCTTCTGGGCTTTGTTTACAACACTGCTGTGGAAGAAATTGCAATAGATCCTGTTACACAGTAAGTTCATTTTCATTTTGTGTGTGTAAATTCTTTCAAATTGAATATTGCATAGTATCAGGCTGGCTCATTTAGTCATAGTGTATGAAATTAAATATATAAGTCAGTGAAATATTTACTTTTTACCCTTAAAATAGTGGTTGGTGCTATGCATTGTGGTTTACAGCTAGGGGGTGATATCTGCACCTTTCATCCAACACATTTCTATGCCATACTTGGTTGATGTTTTATGAAGCAGGTTTACAGGATGTTATAAAATAAAATTTTAATTGTGGATGTTTAAATGAAAGAATACATCACTTATGTTTGTTGATATTCAAGTAATTCATCCACAGAAACTTTGAGCAGTTCATCACTGTTGGAAGGAAAGACCTCCAGAATGACCTCACTTCTGCAAATGGAGTCACCGTCTTTGCTCCAATAAACCAGGCCATGTATGCGATAGCCAACGTTTATCAGAACTACATGAACAACCAATCTCTGATCGACATGGTAATATTTTTAAAAATGTGTTTGGTAATATAAGAAACATAACTTAATGAAAATAGCAGGTGACAGAGAGTATGTTCTTCTTGTTAGCATTCACCAGCTGTAAACTCTAGCAGAAAGTTCTGGTTGTGTGACTACTTGCAGACATTGTTCTTGTTCCAGAACTTGAGTTTTGCATATGCACATCTATTTTGCTGATCTGGCTCATAGGTATGCAGATGTTTGGTTCCTTGTCTCATGCTTGTTAGATGGTAGTGAATAGAACTTATATGGGAAAGATAGTATCAAAATAGACAGGAAGATTGATGCTGTGGGCTGAAATTAAGAATGATTACATGCACACAAAATGCACCTGAAGTCTGGCAAAGGAAAAACATGTAACAAGCAAATGTTTCAGCCTCAGTCTTCATCAGTAAAACTAACAACAAGAAAACTCTAACTCTAAAATGAAATGAAAAAAATCGTGGTATTTTTCCTTCATGTAGATTACTTTGGTTGAATCATTAACTTTGTCTGTATCTTTTCTTTCACTGAGCTTAAAAGTTGCATTTTATGTTCACTCAGATGGCAGATAGAGCTAAAGTATCATGATTGCCGATCCTTCTCTAGATCAAACACTCAAAGAAGTAGTAGTCAATTATACACTTTCACAAATGCAAAAAATGTTTCACCTTTTCCTAATTTAGCTATTGAGTGTATATTCTCTATAGGTTATAGAGATGAGCATGTTGATGCAAGGACAACACATCAATTTTATGGATTACAATGCTGGCTATGAATCATATGTAACTGTTGTGTCACGGTACAATGGACGTCTGATTAAAGTCTACAGTGAAGGAAATGGTAAGAATTGTTTGCAGCTGGATATTTTAATTCCTTACATAGATAATTCTGTTGTGTTTCCCAGCATATTTTAGTTGCATATATTTCATCATTTTGCATTTTCCCTTCTTTTAAATTTTTTTTTAAAACAGTTTTTAGTGACTTAATACTAATTTTAAAATGAATATCAGAGCATATTGGTGTACTAAAAGTAAAGCTTAAAGGGGCATATTGTATTAGAGGAATGGAAAAATAAACATCAAGATGAAATAAAAATCTACTCCTAGTATCTATCTTTACTCCAAACCCACAAGAGCTCAAACAAACATTGTCATGTTGAATATAGGCCAACCCACACTTAAGCTGCCTTAGTAACAAGGAAAAAAAAAAGGTTTGTTAGGCGGCGGCTAAGAACTGTAGTGTTTTAAACCCAGACAGGATATGTTATTTATTAAGTCTAATCAGTAGTAACAGTAAAACTAGGCCCACTAACCACAAGTCCTAATCCGAATCAAAACAATTGAAACTATAATCATCACATTCAACATCTATTTATTTTACTGAACACAAAACTAATTTTGAGTCACAAATAACACTACATTAAGAACCAACATTGTGTTCACACAGGCCATGCGCTTAACACTTCAACTATCAAAAATTACTATTCTCTTATAGCGACATAAAATCAAATATCTTCGAGCGAAGATGCACACTGATATCAAGCTCTACACAGTTAAACTACTAGAAACAAATATAGATTTAACTATGGAACCATATCACCGCGGTAATCAGTGAGACAAATCATCCATCTCCATGCAGTCACCCGAACACATGCTTTTAAGCCTAGGTACAGTGCTGCAGCCGCTGATTGAGATCTCTTGCTCCTGCGGGGTCAGAATCTGAAATGCCAAACAGATCACCTTCCAGGTTCCTTGGTGTTTTTATAGATACCACGATTCCCTGAGTTGCCAGCTTTTTCGGTAAGTGCAGCTAAAGAAATACAAATTATAAACTGCTTTTTTTCATCCTGCCACATATTCCACTACCAAATTTGTAGGCATCCCAACATCCACACAGTCAATAACGATTATTGTCTTCCAATCCCTGTTCAACTTCTGGTCTACCCTCCGTCAAGTTACTGGCTTTAGCCACCTGAAACAAAATCATTCTCCTGACATGACGTAATCACTAGTTATTTGCAACATCATTTATTAGCATACACCCTAAACAAAAATAACTGCCCATTACATATGAGCAAAGTATAGCTCATAACAAGGAAATGGGATAATGAACATATATATTCTAAGTAGGAAATTACATCAACTATGGCAACAATCATTGGAATGTTGAAAACATGAGGTGTTTGTAATAACATCCTACTCCCCTTTCCCCCCAGCCCCCACCTACATAATGATGGCGATAATCATCGGAACATATAAACATTGGCATTTATGTCCGAGACACCATCACATCTGTACAACCATTACAAACCCCCATCTAATCCTCCCCCGCCCCTCCCCCACAGTAGAAAAATGCGTTTAAACATATATCAAATCATCACTAACACACAACAAGCAAAACTTAAAAAAAAAAAAAAAAAATTAAATACATCATGGTCGGCGAAAATCAGGATTCTTTACACGTTGGGATTCCTCTTCGATGTCCAGTAATTCTTCCCAGATAGGTTTTTTCCACTGTTTTTTACCTTACACCAGACAATTTCCACTCTTGTCTCAGCCGCATAGCTATCGAGAGACATACTCAACCACTGCCTCAGTCGCATGGCTATCGAGAGACATAAACCACTGCCTCAGCCGCATGGCTATCGAGAGACATACTCAACCACTGTCTCAGCCACATGGCTATCGAGAGACGTTTCAGCACTGTCTCAGCCACATGGCCATTGAGAGACATTTCACCACAATTGCCACCGCCGTCATTAACAGTTATTTAAATAAATAGTTTATTTACGTGTCTGATAAAATATGAAGGAGAGTAATCATTAAACATGAACGTAGCGGAAAATTAAATGAGTTAAATTCCTTTGAGCACTAAAAACAATTTTATATGGTGGCTGCTAAGATATAAAGCAAATTATGACATCTTAGATACTAACTAAATAAGACAATTTTCATTTTTTTTAAAAACCTTCATGTCTGCCAGTAGGTCTTCTGTAATCCATGTGCCTAGATGCTGGAATTTCTTTACTTGTCCTAAAATAGCAGCCTTGACTTTATTATTCATTTAGGGACAGCTCTTTTCATTTATATTACCATTACTTCTGTATTTCCATTATTCAAGGTGAAGCTCATTCTATCGCTTTCTACCACCACTATATCTATCTATATTTTCCTGTGCCTCTTTCTGGACATATAGGGCAACTCTTGAAAAACGTTTTAGAAAAAAGTTTAAACACATATGCATGAAGTGTTTCTTTCAAGTAATTAATATAATAATGTTACTTGAGTCCACATGTATTTTATATTGTAAATCAACTGTTTCAGACACCTGGGTTGAAGGAGGTTATGTGCAGGCCCGCGTGGTTAAACCAGACATTGGAGTAACTAATGGGGTCGTGCATCAGATTGATGCTGTGTTTGGCATTCCCACTCGAGACATTCCATACACCATATTTTGTAAAGACTGGCTTGCGTAAGTAAAACCTAATCATTATAGGTATGCTGATATACTTCTAAAGGACTTACTCTAATGAATATATGATCGACTGCAGTAAGCCTGTGAAAATAGAAAACAACACTGCGAGTGGATGGCTCTAGAGAACTACAGGGGTGGATTAAATAGTATATTACAGGACCAAGAAGTGTCTGGCCGAGTGGTTACAACATTGGGCTCTCATGTGGGAGACCTGGGTTCAACCCCTTGTAAGAAGAGGAGTTAATTTGTTGGGGGCAAACTGAAAACATCCTGGCCTGCACAATCAGTAGCGTGAGCACTAGCCACATGACCTTAAATCCTCAGGCTCATGCCCCCCCCCCCTCACTCTATATACACCACACCTAAAAAGTTGTAAGACAGACAGTTGTTACAGGAGCAGGAGTTAGCATGTGAAATTTTAATATATCTTAAGACAGAATAATGGTATCACAGATTACTTTAAGTGTCCGCAAAAATAGACTACACAATATAATTACTATAACTGTTTGAAAGAACACTTAAAATATATTGAACTTGACAATCTATACTTCTACAATCTTATACAGTTAATACATGAGCTATGCAATACTGATTGACCAGATTTTGTCCACAGGCCAGCAGCTGAATAGCTCTGCCATTTGGCAAATGATCCCTACTGATATCTGTTTAAAAAAAAAAATAACCTGTGAACTAAAGGACACAGCTCCTGAAATAACTTAATCCTTTTAGAGAGTGAGCCGAACGGCTGAGCTGTGGAGACTGAAGATTATATTTATCACCTAATGTTTTTTCTCCCAATGTTAAAATGTCAATAAACTGTCAAATCCTGATATTTGATATTTCTTGTTATTGTTCAACCAGGTCAACTTTTGTCCAGATGCAGTATGTTGGATTGACCAAGTACATGAGAGACCCTTTACTTGTCAAGAATTAGGAGTGTACGTTCAATGGCATTTCAGCGACTGGGAGTGGAGTCCCAAATAATTGGCGTCTATAACCCTAGCACTGACACCGCCAACCCACCTGACTTGTACACGGGAATCTGTGGTGATGGAATTCAAAGGTACATTCTAGAAAACTTCTACATCCCTGTGTGGGTTCTGTGGCCATATTGTTGGGAAACAAGAAAAAACCCTCCCCCTTCCCCCACCCCTCGTCAGGCTCATTCACTACCAAGCAGCCTGGTATATGTGTGTTGCTTTCAGCTCATGTGATCTTCTTTTCTAAACTTCTGACATCCAGTTGTTACACTAACATCTCAGAATAGAACCAGCTGTTGTAATACCTTTTCATAACTGAAAGACCAAAAGCAGCTTCACTTATCACCACCCTCTACTTTTGCTGTCATGGGCAGGAATAGTTGGTGATTCAACAGTCACTGATAGCACAATAAGATGCAAACACTGTTGACAGTTACAGAGATAAACCACACACTTAAAATGAGAATCGTCAGATGTTATGTATGCTTAACAGACTGCAGGATGCAGACACTAGGACAGTGAACAAGCAGCTAGATAATCGAGTTTAGTCTTTGGAAATGTGGATCTACAAAAGAATAGGTTCTAGAAGTCTTTTTGTGGATGAATAGAAATGTTACTGATGAGAAATAAAACAGAAAATTGAAATTTTTTTAGCCTTATAAAAAATTGAAAGACATTTTTAAAAATTATACTGGGGAAAATGTTGAGGGAAAAATAGCAACGAGATAGCAATGATACACCTGAGAGGACTACATCAAGAGATGGAAAAACAGCAGTTTGAGAGAGTTTGCAACCAAGATAAGAGATAGAGCGTGTTGGAGACCCACTGCAGCCAACCTTCATTGTGGAGATGGCACCTGATTGATTGATTGGGTGGTACTGGCTATGGTCATTTTCAGTGAATGTGCAATGTCTTGAATGTCATCAGTTCATGTTTCTGAGCATCTGTTTTCCTTTCTATCAGATTTTCGGTGAGCCAGAGGTAATTTATGTAGATCGTAGGCTACACAAGACAGATCTAATAATAATTATTATTATTATTTGAACATCCTTCGTGTGGGTTTCGGGGCCCTATTATAGGGAAAACAATAATAGACCCACTGCCTACTCAAAGCATGTCGTAAGAGTCGACTAATTGGGAGCTTCCTTCGAAGTCAGAGTGTATTTGCCTGAAAGACAAGGAACCAACAGTCTGCATACAAATTAGTCAGATCTGTCAAACGGATGCACACGCAACACTCAGGTTTTAGAACAGGACTGCAGTCCAGAAGTGGACGAACAACCCGAACTTTCCGCTGTAGTTTATAGCCGGTGAATGGGAAGAAGAAGATTACCTGGACAGAGTTCCCACCTCAGTGCACTTACTGTAACTGCACTTCCAAACTACAAAAGCTGCATTCAGAAGAAAAAACAAATCACACACACACACACACACACACACACACACACACACACACACAAGCATAGCAGACGACTTCCTCCATCTGTTTGTTGGGGAGTCAGATTTTTCTCGGGAAAAGGCCAGCAGCTTGTAACATTTACTCAGTTGTAAATTAATTCAGCTCAGGCATTCCAAGCACGACGGGACCAGTCTCTGAGCTTTCTCGTTCTCTTTAAGTTTAAATAATCTGTTTTTGCTTCTCGGGCACTCAAAAGTTCTACTCACGATTTAACGCTTATCTTATTTGGCACACTTCAGTCAAACTGCACGTTTGCGTTAAGTTGGCATCACTTACTCGATTTATTCATTCATACATTATAGTTAGTAACTGATGCCATCAAACCGGATTCTCGCACATAATTTATATGTAGTAGTTGTCCTCATCTCCAAATAATGAGAAAATTTACCAACAGTGAGAAAATGAACTATTTCAGCAACACTGGTGTTGAAACTCTATGCTGGCTGCCAAATATGGACACACAGCTCTCAAGGAAATGCCCCAAGTGACGTAATATTGGTTTTTAACTCATCTGAACCAGAGGTCGGAGCTGGTGAGAGTCACATGGATATTTAGGCTGGGCCTTGCACGTATGTTTTGGAATGAGCTGGCAGAAAGGTTTGGCTGGACTGGCCCCACTTTAGGGTGTACGGCAACTGCACAAGGTAGATGTGATCTCTTGCCTCTGAAGCAAGATAACAAGTAAAATGGAAGATACTAAAAACCTGCACCTGGAGAGACTGGGGGGGGGGGGGTGTGTAGGCGGCACTCAAGACCCATGGTAAAGGCAAAACGAGTAGTTAACCAGATGATTATCACCAATATGGACTCTTCACTGGCTTTTGAGGAGGGACCCAGAACTAATATTTGCTTGTCCTGAATGCTCTGATGTCAAATCTTTATCCAGATGAACCCAAAACTCAGCTGAACTCAATTGTCTCACAAGTTGCGATGAAATAGCGTCTGTCTTCAAATTTGTTAAAATTGTCAAAATTATCTTCAACCCTGTCACCCCGAGAAAGCCAGTTTTCTGAATTTTACACTTTTTTAAATTATATATCCTTGGGCTGTGGTGAAAACATCTAGATATAATAACTTCGGTGCTGGTTGCAACTGCTTAGTTTGTAGACGTGGTGGGTATAAAAAAATCTATTTTTTTAAGTCATGTTTTTTCAAGTGAAGGTTTTGTGTGTGGAATTTTTGTCATTGTGTTAAAAAATTTTAAAAAGACAAAATTTTTTTACGGGTTTAAATTTGGGCAAAAGATTGAAATTGGACTCAAATGCTATAAAAAAAGCATTAGGGGATTACATTTAAAATGTTTCGCCTCTCTCTCTCTCGCTCCCCTCTCTCTCTCTTTTCCCTTCTCCTCCCCTTCCTTCTCCTCTCTCTACTCCTCTTTCTTCTTCTTCTTCCCACTGGGGGCCAGTTTTCAAATTTAAAAGAGTTTGTAGTAACAGCACACCTTCTTCCTTTTTCAGGTTAGATAAATTGGGAAAACCCGTAAGCTGAAAACCGCCCCTCCGCTGTCCTACTCCTGTCCCAACCCACCATCCTCGGGTGGTGTCTCTGTGAACTATCTTTACTACTCCTTAACCAAATAACCCCATCCTTGGGGGCTGTGAGGTTTTTTAAAACCTCCTGTAACCAACCAAACCCCCCACCCTTGGTGGTGTCTCGTGAGACTATATTTACTATCCTTTAACCACCCTACCCCACCTCTGGTGGGTCTCTGTGGCTACATTTACTATCCTTAAAAAACACACCCATCCTTGTGGGTCTCTGGGGGTAATTTCTTTTTTTTGCAAAATAAAATGTATTATTTAATTTCTATCATGTAGGTATTGCCAAAAAAACCTAGGTCTTTCAATTTTTTCCCTCCTTTCCTTTTCCGCCCGGGCCCCCTTTCGATACAAGATATAATCTCGGTGCATTTTTGTCTTCTCTCTTCAAGTTCGTTGTTTTTCCTTTGGCGCCCTTTCTTCCCTTTTTTTTCATTTTTAGTCCTGGTTTTTGTTTTCTTTTTTATTTTGGGAAATGTCTGCAAAAAAGTGCCTTTTCTTGTCATATGTTGTTTCCAGGTTCCCCCAGACGTTTTTTATTTTTTCCCACCTTGAATTAAATTTTTTTTTGTTAAAATTTCCCCTGGCATTTTTTAAATTTCTTTCCAATGGAAAGAGAAGGCCAAACAAAAAGGGTGAAAGGGGCATGTATCGCAGCAGTGAACCCAAGGTCGAATGCTGAAGAAGAAGAAAATTTGTTTTAAATGCTTTTGATTTTTCATTTTACATCTATGGTGGTTCTCCAACTTTCACTGGTATATTTTAAAACTGAAATAAAATTAGAAGTGAAAAAAAAATCACTTGGGCTAAAAAATAACGGATGCCGCCGGTCTTGGCCATTTTTTTTTTTTTAATGCATCTCTTTGGCTATCAAAATTGCTACATTAATACGTAAATTAATCTGTTACTTCTTTGTGCCTCCTTTTGTCACTGATTTTTATTGTGTCTTCTATTTTTTTTTTTGAAAATTATTTTAGTTACTTGTGGGTAATTTTGCTAATCACGTTTCCTTTGCATGTCTTTTTTTAACCCCCCAAACAATACACAAAATCAAGATTTCCGCTGTGGGGTCTCCGTTATCCTGCCCTTTTTTAAA